TATATGATCTTGGATACACTCTCCATTTAGACATACCTAATTGTTTAGCTTGTTCACCCATCTACCCGTCCCTATACCCATGTTTGCTTTCACTTGACATTACTTTTATATTTTACTTAATTTATGTACATTCAAGGACTGACAGATTGCCTTAAATTCCCATTGGTTACAACGTGTACATTTTGACCATTACACTTCTTCCAGCCAACCTGTCCATTTCCTAGTCAAAAGGGCTGCTGTCTTCAGTAAGGTTGTCTTAGTTATCTAGTGCCATTATAACAGAAATACCACAATAACAAACAGTTTAGGAGGCTAGAAATCTAAATTAAGAGTGCTGGGTCTAGGGGAAGTCTTACTCTTTCTGTTGGCTCTGGGGGAAGGTCTTTTTCTCTTTAGCTTGTTTCCTGGTTCCTTGGAAATGTTCATGTGGCTTGGCATCAATCTTGCCCCACCACTGCTCTGCTCCATTGTTTTATCTCTTATGTATCTCAAAAGTTACTGACTCATGCTGCACCCTACACTATTCCTGCCTCGTTAACATACAAAGACAATCCATTCCCAAATGAGATTATAACCACAGTCATAGAGGTAGGATTTACAACATATTTTGGAGGGACACAATTCAATCCATAACAAAGGTCTCTGTTAAAAACTCATGCTTTTTGTACCATCAGTTAGATGATTGAAGTTGTCCAATATAAACTGTCTCAGCATCCTTGTTCTGGATTGCCCCAGACTCTTGACCTCCACAAAGAGGATTCTGGGAGAGTTCCTGGGTTGGGAATGGAAAGGTGGAAGATACTCCTTTGTACCTGTGGATTATTACGATGCTTGTACTTGTAAATCATTTAAGTGACATGTGTTTAGTGTCCAAAATATATGAAAAACTCTACAACTAAACCATAAAAGGACAAATAACCCAACTTAAAACAGGCAAATGATTTGAATAGACATTTCTCCAAGGAAGATATACAAATGGTCAATAAGCACATGAAAAGATACTCAATATTATTTATCATCATTAGCCATTTTCCCTAATGGAAATTAAATAGAATAAAAATAATAAAAAACAAGTGTTGGCAAGGAGAAATTGCTGATGGAACTGTAAAACGGTGCAGCTGTTTTGGAAAACAGTCTGGCAGTTTCTTCAAAAGATTACATATCAGTGCAGGAGATCCTGGATAGAGTTAGAGAAGAATGTGGAACAAAAATCAAAATCATGAAAAGACCAGGTTTACTGGTCTGATAGAAGAACCTGGTGAGACCCTGAGATGATGGCCTCTAGTTACCCTTCAGGCCTGGAATTGGGCTCACTCCCATCCTTTGAGCCAAACAATAGATAGGCATATAGGGTGGACATTTATACCAGGTAGATACACTCCTTAGAATGATCTGTTGTAGGACAGCAGAAGGGCAATATTTGCACAGGGAGCTAGCTCAGGGGGCAGGAATGCATAGGAAAAAAGGACACAGGCAAGAGGTAACTACAGGGAGGAAGTGGGACATTTAAGTGTAACAATGTGGGTATTGCAGTCAATGTCATGAAACAAAATGTGTATGAACTGCTGTATGGAAAATGAATTTGCTCTGTAAACTTTCACCCAAGTCTTAATTTTTGAAAAGATTAAATATAGAGTTATCATATGACCCAGAAATTCTATTCCTATGTTTATTTGCAAAAGAACTGACAACAAATATTCTCACAAAAACCTGTATTGGCATATTCATAGCAGCATTTTTTAATATACAAATAGCGGAAACAATCCAAATGTTCAGCAACTAATGAATGAATAAACAAAATCTGGTACATCCATTCAATGGAATATTATTCAGACATAAAAAGGTATGAAGTACTGATATATGCTCCATGGAAGAACCTTGAAAACATTGTGATAGTGAAAGAAGCCATTCACAAAAGATCACATATTGTTTGATTCCATTTATATGAAATGTCCAGAGAAGGCAAATCCATAGAGACGGAAAGTAGATTAGTAGTTGCCAGGGGTTGGGGAGAGTGAAGGATGGGAAGAGCAGAGGATGGGGAGTGACTGCTAATACCTATAGAATTTCTTTTTGGAGTAATGAAAATATTCTGCAATCAGATAGTGGTAGTGGTTGCACAACACTGTGAATATACTAACAACCAGTGAATTATATACAGTTTGAAAAGATGAACTTTGTTATGTGAATGATATCTCTCTTTTTTTTAAGATACCTCTACTTCATCTGGTACTCATCCTAAAGATAGCCTTTAAAATAAAAATCATTTAGAGGCACACCTAAGATCTGAATATGCTTATAATGTGTAATATATGGCCCTTTGTTATACCTGGATAGCAGGTGTGTATACATATTTTTAAAATATTAAGTGTGCCCCCAAATAAATCAGTCCCACCTAACTCAAGCCAAGGCAAAGGAGAGACTGGAGAGCTCAAGGCGACCCCCGTGGATGTTAGGCTAATGGTACCTCCTGGAAGCCCATAGGGCCACTACTGACACGCGACCCGAGTAACGGAAAAGTCGCAAAGCGTGCACGTGACGTCACTTTTACGCGTCCCTCTTTCTTGGCGTTGACTTCCCGGCTTCTCCAAACTATGCCAAAAGTAGTGTCCCGGTCGGTAGTCTGCTCCGACACCCGGGACAGGGAGGAATATGACGATGGCGAGAAGCCCCTCCACGTCTACTACTGTTTGTGCGGCCAGATGGTCCTGGTGCTGGGTGAGTAGTCGGGAGCTGGGAAGCGTCTGCAGGGAGCGAAACTTCAGGTTTCTTGAGGCGAACTTCAGCTGGCTGCTCTCTGGGAGCCAAGTCTTTTTGAAGATTCGTGGTCTTTCCCTCTCCACCAGAATCCTCCCCACCCATCTCCATCCCACTCCTGGGCGTCTTTCCTGTTTAACCTTGTGATTCTGTATCCAAACCTCTCCTCCCTCAAAACTAAACTACTGCTTTCGGTAAAAGTACCCTGTAACTCCCTCTCCGTCCACGTTCTTCAAAAACTCTCTCTCTGGAAACTTTACAGCCCTCCTGCTGGATACAAGGATGCTGTAATAGCTCTTATCTTAGATCAAAAGAACATAAAACCCTTCCCTGGTCCTACATTTCCCTCCATTTCTTTGCCTCTTTTATAGCAAAACTCCTCAAAAGAGTTGACTATCTTGGCTGTGTCTGCATCCTCAATTCCCATTCCCTCTTGTTCCCACCTAAGACAGGCCTTCCTTCCCACTTCACCATCTAGACCATATTTGTCAAGGTTACAAACTTAACTCCACGTTGCCATTTCTAATGGTCAATTATCAAGGTTCACATTAATCCCCCTCAGTGGCATCTGACAAAGTTGATTGCTCCCTCCTAACTTTTTATTGTGATTTCAATGGAGGTTTACAAGCAAATTGGTTTTCTGTTCAACAATTCATACACATTTTGTTTTGTGACATTGGTTGCCATCCTCACAAAGTAACTCTTCCCACTGCCTGTGTTTACCGTTTACATTAATCCATCTTTCCTATCCCTTGAGCTCTGGTGGCGTAGTGCCTAAGGCTTTTGACTGCTAACCAGAAGGCTGGTAGTTCAAACCCACCAGCCACTGCTCGGAAGGAAGATGGGGCAATCTACTTCTATAGAGATACTGCCTTGGAAACCCAAGGAGGGGTCACTATGAGTCGGATTTGACTCGATGGCAGTGAGTTTAGTTTTGAGGCCTGCCTTCTGAGCTTTGTCCGTGGGCAAAGGCTGCCCTTTTGATCTCATATGGTTGATTGTTCTCAGGAGTGGTACCTCCCAGGTGTTACTGTTCACCTTATAGTCCTGTGCATTACTTGGCTGAAAGGTGGGCCACAGGGGTGAGTTCAGTTCCAGGCCTGAAGGTTGTCTAGGTCATAGGCTTGGGGGTTCTGTTAGTTTCGTTCAGACCCATAAGCATGGTTTTTTTATGATAGTGGGTTTTGTTGCACAATTTCTCCACTCTGTCCAGGACCTCCTATTGTGATCCCTTTCAGAGCAGTCATTGGTAGCCAGGCGCCTTCTAGTTCTTCTGGTCATAGGATCATGGAGGCCGGGGTTGGCGTTATTCATTAGTCCTTTGGACTAATTGTTCCCATGTGTCTTTGATTTCCCTCACTTGTCTTTGCTCTGGATGGGGAGAGACCAATAGTTGTACTTTAGATGTTCGCTCACAAGCTTTTAAGATCCCAGTCACTACTCACCAAACTAGGATACACAGCATTGTCTTTGTGATGCCAGTTGACCTTGATGTCCCCCAAGATTATGGTCCTGTGCCTCTAGGCCCAGTAACTTACTTCCTCAAGGTATTTGGTTTTGGCTAAGAAGTTTCAATAACTTTGTTCCCTGTGTTGTTGTTGTTAGGTGCCATTGAGTTGGCTCCAACTCACAGTGACTCTTATGTACAATAAAACAAAACACTGCCCGGTCCTGCACCATCCTCACAATCCTTGCTATACTTGGGCCCATTGTTGCAGGTCGTATGCCAATCCATCTTGTTCAGGGTCTTCCCCTTTCTCATTGACCCTCTACTTTACCAAAATGATATCCTTCTCCAGGGAATGGTCCCTTCTGACAACATAACTAGAGTAGGTGAGATGAAGTCTGGCTTTCTTCAGTTCCGTGGAACATTCCAGCTACATTTCTTCCAGGATTGTTGCCTGTATGATCTTCTATATTCGTAGCTGTATTTGCAGCACATATAAACACATGTGTAGAAATAGCCTCTGTCAAACCTATATATAGTCATTGGTATAGTCCTCTGCTGTCTGTTCGGCTCACAGTGTCTGATATCCACTTTTAGATTATTGTTATTACTGTTGCAGGACTGTGTTTGTTACAATATTTGCTTTTGTTGCCTTTAACTCTGGTGCTCCTCCCAGTCTCTTCCTTTGCCTCATCATTTTGTGCTGACATTCCCCTTATTGTATATTGTATATTGCCTTCCCCTTCACCCAAGTTAGTAAGTGCCTGTCCTCTGGTTAGCAATTTCCCCTCCCACCCCTGGAAACCTTCTAAGAATGCTTCTTTCTATGTATAAGCCTGCTCTTGACTTTCTACAGTAGTGGTCTCAT